GCGTGCGTGGATTTCTCGTTTTGTTTTTGCAAAGCGCGATTAAATGGAAGGATTTTCCTCATTAGCAATTTGTGCTGAAAATGTCTATGTAAACACGCATACAATACCTTAACTTGAATATACAATCTCGCACATTGATAACACACACGAACACAGGCGAAAGATGCACACACTACACATAGACGCACACATGAAGGTACAGAAGAAAATGAAACATACACACACACACACACACACACACACACACACACACACACACACACACACACACACGCACACACACACACAATAACTACTCACATCAAACAAACTTTGTAATTAAATCTGTCTCGAAACTGAGAGAGACAAGAGAGAACAAAAATACAATTCTAAAACAACAGATTACTAATATCATATAGAAAACAGGTTAGGCCTGTAATATAGAGGGATTCTCAAGCCCTTTCGAAATCCTCAGAGAGAATTGATAATTGAATAAGACAAATGACATAAAGATAGATGAGTCAAATGAAGCGATTTGTCTCAGAAAATGAAACATCTCAGTTCTGTTGATATGGTAAACTCAAGAGCCATTGAACACCAGCTGACTTGAGAACATGTATCCGCAGGAGCACTGAAGTACACACACACACACACACACACACACACACACACACACACACACACACACACACACACACACACACACACACACACACACACACGCACGCGCACACACACACACACACACACACACACACACACACACACACACACACACACACACACACACACACATACACACAAACACACACAGACACGTAATTACACACATACATACACATGCACACATAAATACACACACACAAAAGGTCTATATAAGTTATATACACACACACACGTAAACACACACACGCGAACACTCGCGCACGCAAACACACACACACATATTCATTATGCATGGCCTGCAGGTTTATTCAATCATTCCATTGCAGTTTACTTCTATTGTATAAATCACGATAATCCCTGTATTTTAAGCAATCAATCCGAAAATCTAAAAAAAATATTAGTTCCCCCTTTAATTTTCCTTTATCATTTTCATTTTCTTTAAATAACTTAATTAGAGGCATAACTATAATATTATCTTGCAGCTTTTACGATAAAAATGGCTTTACCGAAATATTTAAAATAATGCTTCAGTGCAAGGAGTACCGCTTCTTTTTTCTAGAATATATGATTTAGTTTCTATGGCATAAATATAAGAATGTTAAATGAACAGCCGATTTTTTTTTATAATAATGTATGTGTTACAATTAACTGTATGATCATATGACTGTATATAACTATGTATTTATGTATCTATATCAACAACACTGCTGTTGTTATATTTTTAAGAACAGCCTTATCAATTTTAATTCTAAGAATAGCAAAAAAGGAATTTTTAAAGCATTTCTCTCCCGATTTTAGCATTACTCCAGTTCAGTTTTGGTTAATGATCTGTGAAAATGTAATTCACAAGTTCTATGTGTGTGTTTATATTTGTGTATGTGTGTGTGTGTGTGTGTGTGTGTGTGTGTGTGTGTGTGCGTGTGTGTGTGCGTGTGTGTGTGTGTGTGTGTGTGTGTGTGTGTGTGTGTGTGTGTGTGTGTGTGTGTGTGTGTGTGTGTATGTGTGTGTGTGTATGTGTGTGTGTGTGTTTGTGTGTCTGTGTGTGTATGTGTATGTGTGTGTGTGTTTGTGTGACTGTGTGTGTATGTGTATGTGTGTGTGTGTATGTGCGTGTGTGTATGTATGTATGTGTGTGTGTATGTGTGTGTGTATGTGTGTGTGTGTGTGTGTATGTCTATGTGTGTGTGATCTTTCAACAGACCAGTATCTCATATCTTATTGTTTTATATTACAATGAGATATCTCCAAACATCTCCTTTTACAAAGTTTCTAAATACAAATGACTTTCATCCCAGTTTTAATCATCGACATAAAGTATTCAATCAAAGAGTCAGCTGCTGTGTTCCAACTCTGTTATTTTGACGCATCTATCTCTTAAAAGTAAGTTTGTGTTTCTTTTCTTTTTGCTTGATTATGTGACTTAGTATGACTTGTTATGACATATCATGAGTTATCATTATTATCATTATGACTTGTTAAGCTTTATTATCATAATCTTTATCATTATCATTATCATTATTATCATTATTATTGTTATCATCATTATTATTATCATTATTATTATTATTATCATTACTATTATAATTGTTTGATTGTGACTTATCATGACTTGATTATTGTCTGTCTGTGTTCTAAAAGGTATGTAAGCATAATATCACAGATTCGTACTTTAACTTTTCTCTTTGAGTTTTTTTTTATAAAATATTTTAGGGGGATTTTTCACTCTCCTGTTTAAATTTCTGCCTGAAAAGCTTACCCAAGAACATGCCTTATCGCTTCATTATTTTCTCTTGGTTAGTGCATATATATTTTTTTATTTATCTTCACTTTTTTTCTATTGTACTTTGTAGGATTCCCTCGAAGGGAAGGAGGGAGGGAGAGAGAGAGAGAGAGAGAGAGAGAGAGAGAGAGAGAGAGAGAGAGAGAGAGAGAGAGAGAGAGAGAGAGAGAGAGAGAGAGAGAGAGAGAGAGAGTGAGATAGAGATAGAGATAGAGAAAAAATATAGAGATAGGGAGAGAAAGAGACAGAGATAGAAATAGAGATAGAGAGAGAGGCGGACAGACAGACAGAGAGAAAGAAACGGGGGTGAGAGAGAGGAGAGAGAGAGAGAGTGAGATAGAGATAGAGATAGAGATAGAGATAGAGATAGAGATAGAGATAGAGATAGAGATAGAGATAGAGATAGAGATAGAGATAGAGATAGAGATAGAGATAGAGATAGAGATAGAGATAGAGATAGAGATAGAGATAGAGATAGAGATAGAGATAGAGATAGAGATAGAGATAGAGATAGAGATAGAGATAGAGATAGAGATAGAGATAGAGATAGAGATAGAGATAGAGATAGAGATAGAGATAGAGATAGAGATAGAGATAGAGATAGAGATAGAGATAGAGATAGAGATAGAGATAGAGATAGAGATAGAGATAGAGATAGAGATAGAGATAGAGATAGAGATAGAGATAGAGATAGAGATAGAGATAGAGATAGAGATAGAGATAGAGATAGAGATAGAGATAGAGATAGAGATAGAGATAGAGATAGAGATAGAGATAGAGATAGAGATAGAGATAGAGATAGAGATAGAGATAGAGAAGAAAGTAAATCAGTGAATGGGAGACAGAGGCAGAGAACAGAGAGAGTGATAAAAAAGGAAAAGACACTTATTATCCCTGTTTCTTAAAGTATATATTTATTAAGGACACAGAGAAAGAGTACAATGTAACACAAGACATTTTTATTGAAAACTCAAGAATACTCGTAGTACAAGTTTTGTAAGAATTCATAGTTAAAAAAGTTAAATCAATTATTAATTTTCTATTTAGTAAATGCAAAATTATCTCATTAATACCAGAAAATAAGGGAATGGATATCCCTTTATTGGTATTTGAAACATATTCAAAATAAAAAGTTTTCCTGGGTGGTACAATTCGAAAAGAAAAATACATTTTAAAAATATCTTACACACATTAGGTAATAGATCTTGACATAGATACTGATATGACGGCAATTCCATAAATCATTTATTATAAAATGTTTTATTTTTTTTTCTATCATATATACTCATCATTTCGAAGGAGGCAGAAAGAGATATGTTAACCACTGATATGATTATAAGTTACGTTGTATTACTGTATCACAAGATATCTAGCTAATTACATGAATAGTTAAGGGTATAAGTTAGCATTAATTATGACTAGAATTAAAAAAAAAATCAAAATCAAAATTGAATCTACTTAGCGCGTTGAATAGGAAAAAACAAGATAAAAAGGACGATAATAATAATATAAACAATGGCAGTAGAAAACAAATCTTACATAGGAAAAAATGCATTTTTTGTAGATTATGCCTTAATCTATTTATTTTTTTGGGGGAGGGGGGTTGGGGGGAGAGAGAGGTAGCATAGTAATATATTATGAGGGCGATTTGAGAACCACGTTTAAACACCCACAATTTTTTACAGAAATGGTCGTGCATTCTGGTTAGGTTTGATCATTAACACGTTGGATCTTGGTATGGAATTCATTAATGTTTCAATACTTTAAGATATATTTTGTTCTTAAGATAAACAAAATATACAGGATATGAATATTGTGCGTTTGTGTGTAGTTGTTTTCAGATCCATTTTGAATATTCCCTCTGCGTAGATGAGAAGTGTGTATATGTATATATATATATTATGAGGGCGATTTGAGAACCACGTTTAAACACCCACAATTTTTTACAGAAATGGTCGTGCATTCTGGTTAGGTTTGATCATTAACACGTTGGATCTTGGTATGGAATTCATTAATGTTTCAATACTTTAAGATATATTTTGTTCTTAAGATAAACAAAATATACAGGATATGAATATTGTGCGTTTGTGTGTAGTTGTTTTCAGATCCATTTTGAATATTCCCTCTGCGTAGATGAGAAGTGTGTATATGTATATATATATATATATAGATATATATATATATATATATCTATATAATAATATAAACAATGGCAGTAGAAAACAAATCTTACATAGGAAAAAATGCATTTTTTGTAGATTATGCCTTAATCTATTTATTTTTTGGGGGGAGGGGGGTTGGGGGGAGAGAGAGGTAGCATAGTAATATATTATGAGGGCGATTTGAGAACCACGTTTAAACACCCACAATTTTTTACAGAAATGGTCGTGCATTCTGGTTAGGTTTGATCATTAACACGTTGGATCTTGGTATGGAATTCATTAATGTTTCAATACTTTAAGATATATTTTGTTCTTAAGATAAACAAAATATACAGGATATGAATATTGTGCGTTTGTGTGTAGTTGTTTTCAGATCCATTTTGAATATTCCCTCTGCGTAGATGAGAAGTGTGTATATGTATATATATATATATATATATATATATATATATATATATATATATATATATATATATATATACTTCAAAAACTACACAAACTTATAACTGAAATATGAACACGAAAATTCAATTACAAATCTACAGATGTACTCTCTCTCTCTCTCTCTGTGTCTCACACACATGTACCCACGTGTGTGGTCCTAACGTACAGACATCCACACACGCTCCATATACCTTAAATACTCTGTCTCATACATTCAAGCACAAGTGAAATAAAAGGTAAGCATCTATCTAATCTAAAAGCGGTGGAAATCAGCTCACGTTTAAACTAAATGCATCAGTATTGTCTGCCAATTCATTGCTTAATTTTCTTTTCTTTTTTTCTCTTAATTAATCATCAGCTTGTTATTCGTACATTATTTTCTCATTTCACAGAATTAGTGTAACAGTTGAAGTGAATAAGAGTACGTTGCCAGGTAAGCTCAGAATGAGGTATTGACTTTAATATAAAACACCTAACAATTCTACACTAGGAGTCTCTACACCTGACTGGAAGAACACTGTGACGAGTTTGTAATTACATGTAAATACATGAGTAACACATCAATATGCACAGAAGTTTTTTTTTTTTTATATATATACCATCATTTGCACTGCGGTATTTAGCGTGGAGACCACCTCATAAGCAGAGAGAGAATCCCGTCTTTTACACACAGGTGTCGGCCATCCTAGCATTAAGGGGGGTCCATCTTCCATGTAGAGTGGGGGCGAAAATCCTAACTGAGTGGATTTCACACCCTAGCACAGGGAAGGACATCAGCCTTCTGTGTAAAGAAGGACCTCCTTCCGAAATCTGATAGACGTCTTCCCTTAAGCAGAGGTACTTCCACTTTAACAAGGAAAGAAATATCCCCTCATTACACAGAGGGAAAGCCGTCCTATCACAAGAGGAGGCTGCCAGAAACAACCCCCTTAATATGGGAAGAGATCTCCCCTTTATGTACTGAGAGGGATGTCCATCCTCATACCGCAAAAAAGGTCACCTCCGTGAACTGCTTCTGGCGTTTTGCTAGTGTCAAGTTGCAACTCTCACGGTGGCACGATGCTAGCTAAAGTGTGTCGCTAGCAGACAGTATAACACGGTACCAGTAAATTCTTTAATTCTCTAATACCAGCAGATGGCATAATAACTGTATACGAAAATACTAGCCCAGGATATAACGCTAAGGTATGTTATGATTCTAACAAAGAAATTTATGTTAGTTTGGGACTTATAAAGCTAGAAGAAACACAGACGCCAGCAGGTGGTATAATACAAATATACATGAAAACGCTAGCACGAGAAAGTGTTGCTAGCAAGACTCCAAATACATTATGATGCTAGCGGAAAAAAAGAAGCTAGTACAAAATATAATGCATACTGAACACACGGTCTTAGTGGATACTAGAGTTCTACCAACTGGTATGATACTAACCAGTGTAATACTATGATATTAATTAAACTCACACAGTACCTCAAGTATCATGTGGTAAAGTGTTTCCCTCTCGTTCATGTGTTTACCAGTCCAGACTTTTAGCATTAAACCGACTTGAGGATTCTAGCACCTACGATTTAAGTTAACAGATACTGCCACGGCTCTTAACTGCCACGCCCCTTACCTGCCACGCCCCTTACCTGCCACACCTCTTAACCAGCACCCAAGAGTAACTGCGGTTCTGCCAACAGCAATACGTAAGTGTCGTATTTCCTTCGATGTATTGGGCCCTCCTCTCTCGCCTGCCTCTCCTCGTCTAAAAGGAATATCAAACTTTTGCTTTTATTTTCTTATTCCTTTTTCGCTTAAAAGAGATTATCAAACTTTTACCTCTTTCTAATTCCCTCTTCGTCCAAAAAGGGATTATCAACTTTTCCCTCTTCCTTTTAAAACATTTTCTGGAATATCTTGCTTCCTGTAGAGAGGAGGAGGACCTTATACACACACCTTATCCGACACGCTGCTACTGGCACTGGCACCTACTGGCACTAACAACCCCTTTCCAACGCCGAGCCCAAGCTACCTTCACCGAACACGTCCTGGCCAGTTAAACACGGAATGGCAGTGTGAGTATCTGTGGTCACAAACATAACTGATCCCTGGCCGTTAACTCTGGTTTATCATTATTTTCAATTCACTGCAGATCTATTGGATTCACACAGTACGACATCAACCTAGCATTTGTTAGTAAATTTTTAAAAAATGTTACTGGTGTGTTTCTTGGACAAAAGATCCGGCAAAGTTAAACATCTTGAATCTATTCTACTAAGCTTAGGGAACTGGAATTGGAACTAAATAATAATAATAATAATAATAATAATAATAATAATAATAATAATAATAATAATAATAATAATAATGATAATAATAGTGATAATAACAAGGATAATAATGATACAAGGGATAATGTCCCATGAGCATCCACTCATTATGCAATGATCATAATGTTCATTAAAGAAAATAAGAGCTATTCTTCCTTACATCGAAAAAAAATACATATCAACAAAAAATGAAAAACAACACGATATCAAAAGTAATAAACTTAGGTTTGAAAACACAAACGCAATAATTAAATTGCATATGTATGACAATTTTTTTCTTTCTTTTTTTTCCCGTGTCAGAATATATGAAAAGCAATAACAATAATCAGAATAGCAATAAAGATAAAAAAGAAAATAATAATAATGATAACACTAATACCGCTTCTGGAATGAGACTACAGCTTAAAACTTCCTACCATCAGCATGTCATCTAATTTAAATTCCTAAGCAATACATAAAACATTAAATAAACTGCACGTGTGTACACAATAAAACATACACAGTACAGAGTCAAATATCTCAAAGATTCACATGGTTATCAATATACAGGTTATCTCAACGACACAAAGACGGTCTGTTATGATAACAAGAGTGAAGGATGTAGCTTATCGTTGGTGATATTATACAAAGTGTGTGTTTTTTTTTTTATTAAGTGTGTGTGTTAGGATATCGTGCACGTGGGACTCAGTATAAGGAAATCTTTAACCCTTTCTTTCTCTACTTCGGGCGAGGTTTATTCAGCTCGCTTTTCTTCCCTGTACGTTTGGAAAGAAGAATAAGAAAGGAAAGATATTATCCTAAAAAAAAAAAAAGAGGGGACACATAGGAGGGAAATAAAGACCAGGAAAAAAAAATACAAATATGAAATTCAAAATTAATACAAAAAGAGACACATACGGGAAAATATAAAGAAACCGAATATGGATGTATGTATAATATTCATGATCAGGATATTTCGGAGTATAGCATCGGCAGGCTTCAACGAATTCCATCACTACTGGCTGTCGAACACATTAGGTATCCTTGAGTTCCTCCTTTGAGCAAAGTTGCCGGTCCTGGAGTGAGGGAAAGAGGAAGCGAAAGTTTTTTTTCTTTTTCTTTTTCTTTTTTTGATCAAACAGTGGAGAATGTGTTGCAAAAAATATAGGAACCATTATTCACTATTTTTTCATTTCTTCCTTTCTATTATTTTTTCTTTCGTATTTTCTCTCCTACATTTCTTTTTTTTCTCTATATGAACTTTATTTTCCCCTCTCTTCGTCTCTTACTACGTAGCGATCACCTCTCCTGTGTTTGTTTTCCGCCACATCGTCAGTCCACCGGGAAATCTCAAACCGTCCTATTTTCCCTTTTCTTGTGCTATCAACCGTCATTCCTCAAACAACGAAGTGTCACGGGAATTTTTTAAAAATAATAAACCAAAAAAAAAAAGAGGAAAATGAAAAATAAGACGAACGTACACTCAGTATTTAAATATTAAGATCCTTCAACCTCCTCGCCTTCTCGCGCTCAGTTGCCCTCGCTCCCCCTGTCGATGCCCTGGAGGAACAGCTCGTACTGCTCGGGGCTCATCTCGGCTTCGGGCGAGGTCACGTGACGCCGCCTCCGATACCGCGCTTGGCTTGTGGCTTCGATGCACAGGACGGCGAACGAGTTGTGGCAGCCGAGGCGATCCTGCGACAGGAGCCGGTTCTTCAGGAGCGACGAGGCGAGACCCACGACGTCGCCGCTCTCGCTGTTCCAGGCGTCGCAGTACGAGGAGAGGGAGCGCTCGCCCAGGAGGTCGGAGCCGTGCCAGATGTACTTCTGCGGCCTGGGGGGGGAGGGGGGCGTCAGTCACGGAGGAAAAAGGGGAGGAGTCAAACATGAAGGAAGGGATTGAGTCAGTCATGGAGGAAAAGGAGGAATGAGTCACGGAGGAAAAGGGGGAGGGGTCAGTTACGAAGGAAGGGAAGCGTCAGTCACGGAGGAAAAGGAGGAATGAATCACGGAGGAAAGGAAGATGAAGATGAGACAGAGTAGATGAGATAATCAAGAAAGTTGGAGCAAACCGTAAGAAATTATCAACATATGAATGTCCAACATCTAGACATATACTTTATTAGCCTGGGAATAAACAGAGAAGTAAATAATGAAAGAAAAATGAGATAGATACAAAATACACCAATAAAAATATCACCAAAGAGAAAAAAAAGTCAGAACAAATATCAAACACATCCAAATTTCACACAAAAAAAAATCACAAAACAATATAAAAATCCCGTAAACAAAAATAAGAAATTGTGTATAAAAAAATCCCATAAAATCTCACCAGGCAGAATTGGTCAGAATTTCCTTTCCGTCGAAGCTGAAGATTCTTGGCTTCTGAGAGAAGATTCCTCCCGTTCCCGAAAATATTTCTCGCCACGTGTTGAAGAGGACCTCTCCCTGGAAGACGAAAGAAAATCTTAGAGGCTTATATTTTACGTAGAGAGATATTGAAATTAACTATTCATAATAAGAAGAATAACTATCTGTCTATCCGTTTCGATTCTGAAATGAAACCAATGCAAAAATATATAAATCTTATTCGAAAGTTTATAAAAATCAACAAATATAAAATCCGAAATGAAAAAAAGAAAGAAAGAAAATACGAATGTTGTAAAAAGTTAACTGTTCTGAATTTCAGACGAAAAACAACGATCATTCGATCCACATACATCCCAACAGAAAATAAAATAAAATACAATAAAAAAAACACAAAAGACGTTAATCCCCCTTCTCAACACAACACCTTTCCCCTCCCCTTCCTCCCTCCCTCCCTCCTCCTCCCATCCCCCCAACTCACGTACCTTCGTATTAACCACCGGCAAGTTCCTGTCGGAGTACCTCACGATGGAGTCCAAGTTTTGTACCCTGGAGGTGAGGAAGGCCCTGAAGGTGCCCCTGAGCCCTGCCCTACGCGCCTCTCTGTAGCAGGAGTAGTCCGCCCCTCGAACGCCGTGCATGTCTCCTGTGTATGGCTGGTTGAGGGCGGCCAGTCTGAGCTGTGGGCGGGCGGGGAGAGGGTTAATGGGGAAGCCGGTTCGAGGAGGCGGTGATTATGCAGCTGTGGATACGTTTAATTGTATGTGTGTGTTTATAGTTATCTACCTGTCTATCTGTTTATCTGTCTATCTATCTAGCTATATGTCTGTTTATCTATCTATCTTCCTATCTGTCCGTTTATCTTCCTATCTGTCTATCTACCTATCTACCTGTTTATCTATCTATCTAATTTATCTATTTGTCTAACTCTCTATCTGTTTATATATCTGTCTAACTGTCCGTTTATCTATCTATCCATTTCTCTGTCAGTCTATTTATCTGTACATCTATCTGTCTATATATTGCCTATTTATCTACCTCTCTTTTAATCTGTAGCCTATATCTATCTTTCTATATAGACATCTAGACGAATTTTAGACATAGACTCTACATATAAAATATCTACAACACATACGAGTACATATTCTACTACAAACACTACAATTTACCTTCGTCAGGGGTCCTTTCTGCAGCAGCGAGAGAAATATAAACATTTTAGATGCTTTTTTGATAAAACTCATTTTCCTATTATGGTTAAAGTGTATAATTGGTTGTAAAGTCTGAGAGAGTTGTGTATGAACTTTGTATGAACGTGTGTATGTGTGTGTGTGTGTGTGTGTGTGTGTGTGTGTGTGTGTGTGTGTGTGTGTGTGTGTGTGTGTGTGTGTGTGTGTGTGTGTGTGTGTGCGCGCGTGTCTGGGCGTGCGTGAGTGTGTGCGTGTGGGTGTGCGTGTACGTGTGCGCTTATGTGCATCATGCTTAAAACATAATGAAATGCGAAACACACTTCAAACAAAATCCTTTTTCAACTATAGTTTATTACTAGTCTGTCTGACATAATTTTAAGAATGCAAAAAAAAGGCTGAACTCGACTTTAAATCCTAATTTTGCATCAAAACTCAATGACAATGTGGGTTTCAAGACATTTTCTACTTACCTTACTTACTTTTTGGCTTCTAACAACCTTTTTTTACTTATAGATACAGGGCTAGTAGTTGATATATGAAAATATACTAATAGCATATTCATAACCACAGCGCGTATGGTCACAAATTCCATATAAAGAAACTTTTGATAGATTTTTGTAAATATTCGATCATTCCTATCTTCATTTTCTTTTTTTTTTCAATAATTTGCATTAGTTGATTATTTCATTACCATATATACACATCCCTGTTTCTCTTTATTCTATTGCCACTATTTATCCACTGAATTATCATTGTTTTGTTTTCCTAATATGGTTTGGTTCCTTTATGCACTTCTGTCAGCTGTTATCAAATCTATTTATTCAAGTCAATATGCTTAGTGACTGAATAAATTAATAGGCGAACAAATGTTCACATATAAAACTAAGTGCACTCGTGCATTCATATATATGTACATATGTGCAAAAATGTATGCACACACATAAACACACACACACACACGGACACTCATATACATGTGTGTTTGTGTGTGTATATAAATATATACATATATATATATATATATATACATACATACATACATACATACATACACACATACATACATACACACACACATATATGTGCATATATATACAAATATATATACATGTATATATATACATCTATCTCTCTATCTATCTCTATATAGATGTATACATATATATATATATATATATATATATATATATATATATATATATATATACATACATCTATATATTTGTATGTATATACATCCATAAATAAATCTAAACATATGTAACAACCATGATCAAATGCTGCTCGGCAATAATCCAATGATAAATAACCCATTCCTGGTTAGCCAAGTTTCTTCCTAGTAACCAATTATCAACCAAAAAATAACAATAACCAAAAGAAATAAATAAGAAAAAAACACACACAACAAACACAAAAGGCATCCCGCGCAGAGGCACCAGCGGCCCTCCGCGTCCAATGCCTCCGCGGTGCCAACGCCTTACCCTGGGTCCGTCGACGGTGTTGACGAGGGAGTCCACCTGCAGGGGAGGAGGCCGCGCCACTGGGGGCTCTGGGGTCGTGGCCGGCTCGGGGGTGGTCGTGGGTAAAGGAATCACTGATCCCATCTAAGGGAGGAAACGATATCCGGTTTGTAGTGTCGGATCCCTTTTGGGGGAGGATCGAGTTGAGAGCCGTGATGCTCTTTTGTTTTTTTAAGAGGTCTAGATCTAGAGGGGGAGATTATGTTACGTATGTGTGTATTCTGATTTAAGTTATCTATAAAAATGGTAAGGAGATACAACTACATTAAAATATATGGCGATATATAAATGGCAATTGATATAGTAGTCACACACTAAAGACTTATTTTGGAATAACACTGGAACTAATACAAAAACTTGTAAGATTTATAAACTACTGAGACACCAATAGAACTAGTGAAAAGAATCAATTACTGGAATGATTAACTTCAGTGGCAATCAATGACAATAAATTAAATTTAAGCGAGTGATCCAACACAGCAAACAAAAATTGAAATAAAGAAAGAACAAGATGCCATTTTAACACTAATATTAAAATCACAGCTAGATATGGTGAAAACAACGGTTATTTACAATCCCACATGGAGAGAAATAAACAAGGTCTTTAGTAATTAATTCCCGTTGTTAATACCGACTCTAACCTTATGGCCTACTATAACAAGAAGAATATAGTGTGCTAACAAATCTTACACTAAGTGTACTCTACGATACACTCTATAGTGAAAATACCCAACAATAACAAAAATTAAACATAATCTAGCAGACCTTGAAATAATCATTTTTATAGAAGCATTACTCGGGATAATCATGAAAAATAACGAACATCTAAAAATATAGGAAATGGTATTACTTCAATGGTATACTTAAGTTACGGGAATAACACAAAGAAATAAATCAATCTCCAATATTTAGTAAAAAGTGCCATTCATTCGTTCAGAAACTAAGAGTGATATATCAGGAGAAAATATTAAAATTATTTTCCTTTACCTCTCTATACATATACATCTGTCTCTGATGTAGACATTGTTATGTCTCATTTATTCTAGATTTGTCTTTGTTTTTTTATTTTACTTATTTTTATTAATTTTATACTTATTTTATCATTTTTATTTATATCATACTTACTTTTATTAACTTTATTTATATTATGCTTACTTTTACCAATTCTATTTACATCATACTTACTTTTATCATTTATGTATATTTTTTTATTATTTTTTCATATAATAATTTTCACTTGGTACTTTTAAATTCCAATCCATTATATATGATGCAGTTTTTACTCAAAATATCTATATAATTTATCGATTTCATTTCTATTTTCTGTGAGTCGATTCTCTTATTAAATAACTCTTACTAAACGTCTTAATTTTGTTTATTTACGCTATAACTTCACTGTTTCCTATGGTATTGTGATTTTCTTATGTTGTCGTCTACGCGTTTATAATCTATTGTCTTTGTGTATCGGGTTTTATCCATTATCTACATTTCTCTTCATTCTTTGTTTTCTCTCTCTCTATCTTCTTCCTGTTTTTTGTCTTTCTCTTCCCGTGTGTTGTTTTTCTTTCATCCTTTCTTCTTTTCAAGAAAAAAAATCCCGCTTGAAGAAGAAAGAAAGAAAGAAAGAAAAAAAACATGCAAGCAAAAAACAACAGCAGCATTGCCAGGATTCCATCACTTACTTGAAGGATAAAGAAACATATAAGGAAAAAAAGACCATTTTCAGGAAAAAAACGACAATTTGAAGGAAGAAAAACATATAAGGAAAAAAATACCATTTGCAGGGAAAAACGACCATTTGAAGGAAAAAAGACCATTTACAGGGGAAAAACGATTATTTGAAGAGAAAAAAGGGAAAAGAACCTGTAAGAGACGACCACTTAAAGGAAAAAATAACCACTACAAGAAGATAAAGTAAAAACAACTACTTGACGGGAAAAAAAAATCACTTGAAGAGAGAAAAACTATATAAAGAAAAAAAAGGCCACGTGAGGGATAGAAATTATTAAAAGAACAGAAACTATTTAAAGGAAAAAAAAAACAACCACTTGAAGAGAATATAATAATCATCTAAAACAAAGACGAACTATCAAAAAACAACAACAACAACCACTTGAAGAAGGGAAGAAAAAAAAACAACAGAAAAATATCCCAAAGGAACTCCAAGCACCGGCCTCCTCGACTCACCGCCACGTACTGCCATCCCGCGGAGACTCTGACCAGAAGCGCCTCCTCGTCGATCACGAAGGCCAGGGTTCCCACGGGAGACATGTCGCTCATCTGGGGACGCAGGGGGAGGAATTAGCAGCCGTCGACTCCGTTGCGGAAGAGATTGAGGGTACGTGAAGGTATGGGGGCTGGGATACGCGTATTTAAAGGGATAAGGTTAAGTACACATGAGTTAAGCGCACGTACAGGCACAGCAAGCAGATGAACACATACTCAGTCATATACATACATTCTGGAACATAGGGACACATGTACATGCATACATACACAAATACATCCACGTACGCTCTCTCTCTCTCTCTCACACACACACACACATACACACACACACACACACACACACACACACACACATCACAAACACAGAAACTACCCTGAACCACACTTTCAATAATTCCACCTTAAATTCGAACAATACAATTCAATTAAAATAATAACAATAAAAAATAAACACACCAATAATTCCAGCTTAAATCTGAATAAGATAATTCAGTTACAATTATAATAATAACAATAGATAAAACGTCAGCAATCCCAGCTTAAATTTACATATCAATAATTCAGTGAAACAATAATAATCATACAATAAACACATTAACAACCCCAGCTTAAACCCATGTATCTATAACATAATACAACTCAATTACCACAACAACAACAAACAAACCTAAAAACACAAACAAAACAAGACAAACACAATGAAATAAACAGAAATAAACATAAATAATAATGAGAAAAAATAAACACCAACACTCCAGCCGAACTTCGTTTACAAAACCTGAAAACACAAACAGAACCAGGCAAACACGATGAAATAAACAGAAATAATGAGAAAAAAAATCAACAGCACCACTCCAGCCGAACTTCGTTTACATAACCCGAAAACACAAACAGAACCAGGCAAACACAATGAAATAAACAGAAATAATAATGAGAAAAATTAAACAGCAACACGTTTACCTTCAAGAGAGACGTTTTGTCCGGGAAGGTGACGGCGCCGGGCACGATGGACGAGGGGGGCGACGGCTCCCCGCTGGCTGGGGGGCCTGGGGGACCGGGGGGGCCGGGGGGTCCTGTTTGGGGAGGGGGAAGGGGGATCAAAAGGGGGGGGAGGGAAGGGAGGGAGGGGGAGGGAGAGGGAGGAGGGAGGAGAGAGGGGGAGAGAGGAGGAATGGGAATTAATTTTTCGTAGGGATTTCTGGTTTGGTGTTGTGAAGGTGTGTGATATTCGTGAGTGTTTGAGTGCGGTAGATAGAGAGAGAAAAAGGGGAAGGAAGAAAGAGAGAGAGAGAAAGAAAGAAGCAGAGAGAGAGAGAGAGAGAGAGAGAGAAAACAAAGGATGGAGGGAAGAGAAAGAGAGAGAGCAAGGAATGAAGGGAAGAGAAAGAGAAAGAGAGATCGAGCGAGAGGGAGAGATGGAGATAGAAATAGACAGATAGATAGATAGAGCGAGGGAGAGAGAGAGAGAATATATATGTGTCTGTAAGTAATCACCATGTACTAAGGATAAACATCTTTAAAAGTCTCTTTTACAATGAAACCGAGTTTTAAACACTAGGTTGCTATCCCTCTTAGATGGAGCATGCATTGAATATATCATTATTATTTAGTGTTATATCACTGATAATAAAGGTTATCTTATCAAAAATGGATAAAGGTAAACACAACCTAAGAATTAATAAACTCATATACGTACATATGTATTTGTAAAAAAAAATATATATATATATACATATATATATATATGTGTGTGTGTGTGTGTGTGTGTGTGTGTGTGTGTGTGTGTGTGTGTGTGTGTGTGTGTAAATATGTATATATACACATATATACGTATATATTTATAAATTTATATATATAAATATATACGCATATATGTGTATATATATGTATATATATAAACATACATATGTGTGTGTGTGTATGTATATATATAAATATATATATACATACATACATGCACACACACACACGCACACACACACACACACACACACACACACACACACACATATATATATATATATATATATATATATATATATATATATATATATATATATACATATATACATATATACATATATACATATATATATACATATATATATACATATATATATATACATACATATATATATATACTTATAAATATATGAATATATAAATATATATAAATATATAGATATATACGTATATATATGTATATATACATATATATATATATATATATATATATATATATATATATATATATATATATATATATATATATATATATTAGTCACTTACATATATGTGTGTATATGAATTTTAGTTACTTCGTGTACCTCAGCACAACTAAAACCCCAAAAGTTCTTATGGCGTGTTAATCAAAAATAATCAAAAGCCTCATGCACCATCATGCACAAAAGAATTTCCTTCAATCAAGAACAGCCAAGCATATCTACTTCACCCAAGCAAAGCAGTGACTTAAAACAGAAAGATAAACAATTCTTTTAAAAAATCTTCTAGCTTACTGTAACAATAGGAATGAAAACTAATCATATATAAATATATCTTTAAAAATCAATGCATAGTAAAGTAACTTTGGAAGGTCTAGTGAAAAAAAAATAAAAAATAGATACAAAAAAGAGTAAAACATTTGAATAAATAAATCACAAACGCAACTACGATCTACAAAAGCTTGTGTAAATAAAAGCAAATCAACGGTCCCCCCAAAAAAGAAGAAACTCTTGACTAGAATAACAAATTCATAAACAGATCAAAGTTATACATTTGAATGAATAAAAAGATTATAAAAGATGAATAATTAGGAGTGACTAAATATAACGATAAATAAAATTAATAAAAATGAATAAATAACTATGAATGGCAAAATAAAATTAAAAGAAACGAATGAAAAAGTTAATAAAAGATAACTATGACCAAATATAATAACACATAAATAAAAAAACAAAAGTTAATACATAACTATGAATAAATGAATAAACTACGAGCCAGCAAACAAAACAACAATGACCAATAAACAAAAGCCAAAATGAAAAAATAAACAAGAAGAAACGAAGAGGGCGAAAGCTAAAACTAGGACCCTGCGGTACACCACCTCTGTTACCAAGGTTTCCTGTGATCCTGCGCAGGCCTTCGATGCCTCCCAAGCTTTCTCCTGTTGTGTAGGATATTCAAAGAAGCTATAGAGTCTCCGGGCGTGAGAGAGAACTGGTTAATTCCAGGCAAGAGAGATGGATTATTTTCCCGTTTCGATTATAATTATGACTGGTAGTCCATGTTGGAGGGTGATATATAATCGCAACGTTAAGATAAGGCATCGGGTGATGTGGAATTTTTATTTTATTTTTTCTCAGTCATACTTCTATCTCAGAAACTGCCACGAAAACCCCATTCTTAGTCTTTATGGAGAACAAAAAATCATGTTCTTACTCCTTAGCAAGAACAAAAACCCTGTTCTTAGTCTTTAGTTTAGCAAGAAGCATGAGGACTGTAAAAGCACGTGGCTCTTGTGTCTATATTATTTATATTATCATTTCCATGATTATTGTTATTATTATTAACCTCTTTCGTGGGGCTTTACTCCATTTTCTATTGACATTCTGTTATGACTGAAGGAATATGAGAAGTGCCTGAGATGATTTTACTAATTATTACCAAAAGGTGTTTTTAACCGGCCATGCTAAATATGTTTATTTGTTCAAGAGTAGAAATAGTATTAAATATCATTATGTAGAAAAGGTACTGGTACTTAAAAGAGAATGTTTGTTATTCTAAATCTCATCTCAAAACACACTTCACTTTGTTAGTAATATCAGAACAAAAGATTATTATATTCAATACGTTTACAATAAACAACAGAAATTATTCCAAAGATATTATTACAAGACGTTAAATACCAGACATCATTACAGCATATACTACCAAGACTTCATGGAACAAAAACTACAAAAAAAAGTTACGAGAAGGTAGCATAACGGTACACAACGTGACCTTGACGTTAATTTACCACCAGACATCATTACAGTATATTCTAACAAGACTTTTTTAGCACAAAACCTGGCTAAAATAAAGTTTCAAAAGATATCAATACGGTACAAAAAGTTACGCCGAGACTACGTACCTCTCTGGCCATATCCCGGGGGACCTCTTGGCCCTGACGCTCCGGGCGGACCAGGCACGGTGTGTCCAGGAGGGCCAGGCGGGCCACGGGGACCCTCTGGGCCCTCGACGGTGTAGCCAGGCAGCCCCGGTGGTCCCTAGAGGGGGGAGGGGGGGAGGAAGGATTGATGGAAGAAAATCACGTAATTATTTCAAAGACACCATGAATGGCACAAAATCAAAACCACACTTGATATGAAACTACCTGGAAATGAAAACAACCCAAGCTATATAGGAAAATGTTGATACCTTAAAAAGAAAGAAAAAATCTTCATTGTAGATATTCTCCTGAGCAATGAAAATAAATCATAACCAAGAAAAAAAGATAATATATAGAATAAAAATCCAAAATATTAATAATAATAATAAAAACAGAAGCAAGCCATCCTCACCGGGGGTCCGGGCGGGCCGGGGGGGCCGGGCACCGGTACGTACATCTGGCCGCCGTCGGCCTCCCCCGTGCTCCTGGCTGGGGGCCCTGGGGGTCCTGGGGGCCCGGGGGGACCTGGGGGGCCGGAGGGGCCCGAGAGGCCGCCGCTTCCTCTCGAGGAGGTCTCGGCGACGTCGCTGCTGCTGGTGCCCTGCGGATGGGGGGGAGGAGGGGGTGAGGGGGCGGCGTCGCGGCAAGAGGTTGTGTCGCCAGAGGTTGGGTTATGGACGTGTGTGTGTGTGCAGTTTATATATATGTATGTGTAAGTATATATATATATATATATATATATATATATATATATATATATATATATACATATATACATATATACATATATACATATATATATATACATATATATATATATATATATATATATATATATATATATTATATATATATACATACTTATATATATATATATATATATATATATATATATATATATATATATATTAATGTATATACATATATATATATATATATATATATATATATATACATACATATATTTATATATATATATATATATATATATATATATATATATATATATACAGTATATACATACATATATATATATATATATATATATATATATATATATATATATATATATACAGTATATATACATATATATATACAGTATATATATAAATATCAACCAACCCCAAAATAGCACAAACAGACAAAAAAGGGTCAAAATACTCTTCCCTACCCCTTTAAAAATCCTGCAAAACCCTTTCCCTTAGAAAGAAATAAAATAAAATAAAATAATAATAAAAATAAATAATGATAAGATAAATAATAAAGAAAATTAAATCCCCAAAAGTTGACGTCACTTACCAAGATGCTGTTGAGGAGTCCTCCTGAGGGGGGGCCGGGGGGGCCAGGGGGGCCGGGCGGCCCCACCTGACCTCGCTCGCCCTTCTGTCCGAGGCCTGGCAGTCCGGGCGGGCCAGGAGGGCCAGGTCGTCCGGCGGCGCCCTGGAGAGAAGCGTGGGGGGGGAGGGGGGCGTTAGATACGTGTCTTGTCGTGATTCGGAAATTGTTAGGCTTGTGATATCATGCTATCTTTCTTTTATTTTGATTATTGTTTTCTTTTTTTAATATCGTGCCATCTGGTACTGCGATTGGGATTAGATTAACTGAGGTTTTTGGAAAAATATAAATCAAGAAATCATTATTCATGCTTATTATAGATATATATTTTTTCATTCTTTTTCATGCTTAATTCAACTATCATGTTATATGACATTTTCAGCTGATTAGATTGAACCCTGAGTGAGGTTTTCATGCATCAAAACAGGAAGTAGATTTTTTGTTAGCATGCATAATTTGCATACTGATTATGCCTATCGTTAAAATTATTGTAGGTCCGTGCTCTATAAAGTCTATGTTACCATGTGCTTTTGGTATTATCTACTCATTCGAGAGATCAGACTCATTATTGTAATATTATCAATATTATTATTAATCTTCGTATCATTATTATAACCTATGTATATTGTTACGATAATGACAAACGTTCCGTATTAATTCAGTTATATTATAATGTAAGTACATCATTGTATCTGATCTTTGCAAATCGAGCATATTTTACTACTACAGATCATGTACATAGTTGCAAAAATAACGTTATGTAAATGAATGCTATCGATATTACGCAATTTGCCCTCCAAGTGCTATGTTTTAACTTAATGCATCTCATTATCTTTTACTCTGATACCTATTTCTCAAAAAAAAAAAAAAAAAAAAAAAAAAAAAAAAAAAAAAAAAAAAACAGAGCACATTTTAGGACTCAAATAAATATTATCTAAATACATTGTCAAAGTATAAATAAAAAAAGGTTATAATTCATGCTTAATTTTCTTTCATTCTGTTCCATGCTGCGTGTTATACTTAATATATAAAAGTTGCTACAGTGTTTAATTCATACTGATATATATTCTAAGAAGATGAATAAGGACGTGTTTAACGATATATTCATGTTATTCATGCATCAAAACAGGAAGAAGAATTTTTGTTAGCATGCATAATGATTATGCCTATCGTTAAAATTATTGTAGGTCCGTGCTCTATAAAGTCTATGTTACCATGTGCTTTTGGTATTATCTACTCATTCGAGAGATCAGACTCATTGTTGTAATTATTATCAATATTATTATTAATCTTCGTATCATTATTATAACCTATGTATATTGTTACGATAATGACAAACGTTCCGTATTAATTCAGTTATATTATAATGTAAGTACATCATTGTATCTGATCTTTGCAAATCGAGCATATTTTACTACTACAGATCATGTACATAGTTGCAAAAATAACGTTATGTAAATGAATGCTATCGATATTACGCAATTTGCCCTCCAAGTGCTATTTTTTAACTTAATGCATCTCATTATCTTTTACTCTGATACCTATTTCTCAAAAAAAAAAAAAAAAAAAAAAAAAAAAAAAAAAAAAAAAAACAGAGCACATTTTAGGACTCAAATAAATATTATCTAAATACATTGTCATCAGTTAGCTGTTAAGTTGCTGTATAAGATTAGTTTATACCTAAAGGAGGAAAAAAAGACACATTTGTTAACTATATCGTATATACAGGGGAAAAAAATCACGGAAAAATATTATCAATTAATGCTAAACTTACTAAAATGATCAACATCATCTACGACATATAAATCAAAACAAAGCATGCATGATTATAGGTGGGACAGAACATGAAACAAATATATATACAAAATGATCCAAAATTAGAAGAAATTGAATAAGTCTGTAGCCCTTTACTTACGATATCTGTTACGTTCTGGAGGCAGCGTAAGAAAAGTTTATTACATTATAATCTACGCAATCTATTTGTTATATAAAAGCTGTGCTCTACCGCGTGTGAGTAAAGCGAAAAAAAATTACGCATTAGGTTTAATCATGAGACTGTTAATGTGGATATGAACATACTTGCAAATGAATGTACATAATTGTTATCTAAGCACACATTACGTGGACAGGTCGGCTAAACATCACTTTGTCAGTCACCCGGGCCAGTTGAAGCGAACACCTCAATGACTCAACTAACTAACTCAGCCTATCATGGTCATTAAAGCACGTTAGACTGTACTGCATTACAGAATGTATTTACTTACTATATATGTTTATATGTTTATGCTAATGTGTATTACTTTACGAAACGCTGAAAGGTGTACGGCGTTATGCAAGAATACAATAATGTGTAGGTAAAGGTAATCTAGATTTCCCTCGTGTATGCATAGAGCTAAGTGTTGTCAAAGGAAAATAGTAATCCTGAGAAAATAGTTCTTGATTATGATTTTCATGAACCGGTTGGGTACCTAACTACTCAGCATAATGATAATAAGAAACCTGTTGTATTTAAATTATCAATTTTCTCAAAAAGAAAAAAAGAAAGAAGAAGGGGGAAAATGTTCCTGACCTGTCTATAGCTCTTGTGAAGCTCCTGGTACAAAATCCGAAATTCGGCCCATCGTCTTATTTGTACAGGGAAGTGGTGTTAAACTATCTACAGACCGAGTCACCAACCGACAAAAAAAACTAACAACATATACAATCACATTTTCTACAAAGGAAAACCACTACTGTCCACGCACTCTACGTACCAACATATTTAATTAACAAGTCAAACTCACTGCCCCGAATTACCCAGAAGAAATGCTCACGTGTACACTACCGACCACCTTTCTACTATACACAGAGAAGAATTTACACTACTACCACACACTCTACGTCTCGAAATACACCACTTTTCACACACACTCTAGTGGTCGGCTTGCTTGAATTGCGAGAGGTCCCGACCCAGTGGAGAGTCATATAAACGGACATGTCTGTACACAGAAGAAAATGTGGTTATATCTATTACTATAGATCCGCATCTCTATCAGATAGAGAGATAGATCAAGGTATATCTATCAGATAGAGAGACAGATAAAGACACATCTATCAGAGAGATAGATAGATACGAATCTATTTCTCCGTTTATGCACGTCCCTCTTACATGAAACGTCCCTCGGGCCTCTCGCAATTCCATCCCAAACCGGCCACAGGACTCCGTCGAAGCCCCCGTCAGGAACCCCCGCGAGGCGAGGACTCTCACTTACCGGCCATCCAGGAAGACCCAGGTCCCCTACAGCCCCTGGAGGCCCTTGGGGACCAGGTCGACCTCGCTTGCCCCGCCTACCACGATCGCCCTTCTCACCCTGCAAGACGTTACGGGCTGTGAGACCTGCACCGGCCACCGCAAGCGGCTGCAAAGCTTATGGGTTTAGAGGGGGAGAGGGGAAGGGAAGAGGGGGGAGAGGGGAGGGGAAGAGGGGGGAGAGGGATAAGAAGGGAAGATAAACGATTTAGGAGAAGAGGGAAGAGGAAAAACGAAGAGGTAGGAAATAGGACAGGAGGAAAGGAAAAGTAAGGAAAGGAAAGGAAAAGGAGGTGGGAGGAAATGTCAAAACCACCAGAGGCTTCCCCTGATTAAGAGCCAGAAGAACGTAACCCAAACGTGCAATTTTCTATTTCGGTTTTGAAGGATCGATGAAAAAATGGAAAACCTAACAATCAAATTAGAATTTCGAATGTATTCCTATTCTTTTTACGTATTTATTTATTTATCCTAATCTCAACTTCATCGTTTTCATTTTTTGTCATTACTTTGAGTCTCGTTCTTCTGTCGATATAAAAAAGAGAAAAAAATGAATCCATCCCACTAAGAAGAATAACTAAAGATGTTTAAAAAAAGGTTGTTTGCGCGACCTCCTTCCAGCTCCCTCGTTAGTGGCATTATGTAGCTGGTCGTCCAAGCTAGTGTCCTTCTTAACCGATTCGTTTTTCCTGTCCGTATTTGAAGTATGGTCGTTAAGGAGAAGATGACATCTTTATCTAATAAGCACGGTGGTTATGAATACAAAAAATAATAAAAAAGTGAAAGCTAAGTGGATGGTCGTAAATAACTAGTTGGAGAACCGTATTGGTCATTAAGAAAGGGGTGAACGGCCATGAATAATGGTTTGAATAATAATGATGGTCATTAGAGATGAGTTAAAACGACCCATACTGCCCATAAAACGAGTTCTATTAGCATAGTAGCAATAAAAAAATACGAGTTAAATGACCGTAAAATCAACATTTAAAAACATTAACTACGACCAACACCTGTAAACTCACGTTGATTCAGTACCTTTGGCTTTTGAACCTCTTTATTGGCGATCTAAATGGTTTTAAATAGACGTAAAAATATACATTCTCATGCACCTGTCCCCGTCGCGACTTCAGCAACTGAGCCCCGGAGAAGTAGTAGCTGTGTTGTGGGTCTGCCGGTTCATTATGGAGAGACGTTAAAATATGGGTGCTTGTTTAACGTTAAAAACAGTCCAGCTTCAGTCAGTAGGAAGTGTACTATCGTGTCTTTCAATCCTTAAAGATATATATGTGTGGGAATCATACTTATACCGTGGTCGTCAGAGGGAAAAGAAATAAATCTGTCTGTAATCAAAAGCTGGAATATAAACCTGTGGGATTTTTTTTTTTTTTTTTTTTTTTGGAGGGGTTGGACATGGAAATTATAGGTTTTTGCCAATATACCAATATCTAAAAAATCATATACTACATCTATTTTTTTATATTGATTATAATACATAGATATTTATAGTCATGAGATCTTAATTGAAGTTAGTAAAAACAATAACCCCGAAGTTTAAAATGACATGAAATCATGAATTTTATCCAATTAATCCTGCAATCTTACACTCCCATTATAAGAAACCACCAATCAAATTAAAACAAATCAGCAAGCATTAAATCTATACATCATTAATCATTAGAGAAAAAAAACTTACGATTTAAGAAGACACAGTACACCAACTGCTCGACGCCCCCCCCACGCGTCCCTTACCTTCACTACAGTAACGTTGGTCCCGTCAGGCTGGATGAGCGTTGTCACAGGACCCGAAGGCCCAGGCAGACCAGGGGCGCCTCGGTCTCCCTTCTCTCCTGCAGGACCTGAAGCGCCTCGCTCTCCCTTGGGGCCGGGGGATCCTCTCTCGCCCTGGGGTCCCTTTGGGGCGTAGGGGGGGAAGGGAGAAAGGAAGGGGTTAGTGGGCCTGAGCCGCGTCGAGTTGTTTCGCATTCTCTGCATCTCTTTGAGGTTCTTGGCTTTCCGTCTCTCTCTCTCTCCTTCTTCCTCGGTCTCTCTCTCTCTGCCCCCCTCTTTCTCTCTCTCTCTCTCTCTCTCTCTCTCTCTCTCTCTCTCTCTCTCTCTCTCTCTCTCTCTCTCTCTCTCTCTCTCTCTCACACACACACACCATCCCTCCCTCCCTCCCTCCCTCTCCCCCTCACCCCCCTGCACCTACCCTCGTCCCCGGTAGTCCGTCGAGTCCCGGCCGCCCCGGGGGTCCTATGTCCCCCGGGGGTCCCATCAGGCCCTGGATGCCCTCGATGCCCTGGGGTCCCGGCAGCCCTGGGGGTCCGGGGGGGCCGCGGAAGCCCTTCAGCTGATCTGCAAGTGGGAGAAGGATTAGGTGAGGGGGGGAGGGGGAAGGAGGAAGGAGGAGAGAGGAAGAAGGAGAGACAAGGGGGAGGGGAAGGGGAAGGAGGAAGGGGCGGAGGAGGAGAGAAAGAGGAGAGAGAGAGAGAGAGAGGATAGTGGAGAAGAAAAGGGTAAGAAAGGGGGAAGTAAGGAGGAGGGGTGAAACAAGGAGGAATGGAAGGGAGAAGAAACGGAGGAGATGAGAAGATGAGAGAAATGGGAGAGACATGAGGAGAGAAAGGAGCAAGAGAGATATTGGAGAAAAAGATGAACAGGTGAGAAAAGGTGAGAGAGAGATAGGGAGAGAAGGGTGAAAAGAAAAAAAGAAGGAGAGAGACAGAGTAAGAAAGAAGGAAAGACAAAGGAGTGAGACAGGGTGTGAGAAATAAATGAACGAAGAAGGGAAAGAAAGAGACAAAAGAGGGAGACAGAGAGTAAGAAAGAAGGAAAAACAAAAGGAGTGAGACAGGGTGTGAAAAATAAATGAACGAAGAAGGGAAAGAGGGAGACAGAGTAAGGGAGGAACACACCCACCACTTTCTGAAGCCGCAACAGGCATCTTACACAACACACCCACTACACATTTCAAGCTCAAAGCTCATACCGGGTAAATAACATAAGCAAAAAAGAAAAAAAACGACATCAACAATTTCATATCTATATAAAAATAACAGAGAAAGCAAAGTGGAAAAAATGATTTGATCTAAAGCTTCAGACAAGCAAATACAGCCATTCAAATTAAGACCTGTCTATAATATTGTTAATTTTTTTTATATTTCATTAAAGGGTTTATTTATGGTTTTGAGTGAGTGAACTTAGGAAGAACATTTTTAAAAAAGATAAATTAAAAAATATCTAGTGTCTTTTTAATAGAATCTCTTCAAACGAGATACTCTTCTTTTGTGTTAAAATCTCTTAACTTTTTTAAATCAAGCATTCTCAAAAACAAAACAAACAACAATAATTAACCTTTTTTTTAATCATGTTTAATTCCTACAATCTTTTAAGCATTATGACTTCCACCTACGAGTGAGACAAAGCATAAGGAAAAAAGACTTACTGGGGTAGAAAGGTTTGTATTCCAGACCTCCCGATCCCTCAACGTAGACATCTTCATCATCGCTGACTGAAATGTTCACGTGCAAAAGGGAAATGTAGAGAGAAAAACAAAAACAAAAAAAAAACAACAACAGACGACAACACATCAAGCTTTTACGTAATTGGAGTCATTCCGTTTCATGTCCGTTTAGGAGAGGGGGAAGTGAGGGAGAGGGAGAGGGAAGCAAAGAGGAGAGAAGTCAGGGAGAGGGAGAGGGGGAGAAGGAAGCAGAGAGGAGAGATGTGAGGGAGAGGGGGAAAGGGAAGCAAAGAAGAGGGAAGGGAGAGGGGGAAGTGAGGGAGAGGGGGAGAGGGAAGCAGAGAGGAGAGAAGTCAGGGAGAGGGAGAGGGGAAGGAAGCAGAGAGGAGAGAAGTGAGGGAGAGGGGGAAAGGGAAGCAAAGAAGAGGGAAGTGAGAGGGGGAAGTGAGGGAGAGGGAGAGGGGGAGAGGGAAGCAAAGAGGAGAGAAGTAAAGGAGAGGGGGGAAGGGAAGCAAAGAGGAGAGAAGTGAGGGAGAGGGAGAGGGGGGAAGGGGAGCAAAGAAGAGAGAAGTGAGGGATGAGGGAGAGGGGGACAGGGAAGCAAAGAGGAGAGAAGTGAGGGAGAGGGAGAGGGGGAGAGGGAAGCAAAGAGGAGAGAAGTGAGGGAGAGGGGGAAGAGAGGGAGAGGGGGAAAGGGAGGCAAAGAGGAAAGAAGTGAGGGAGAGGGGGAGAGGGAGAAAGGGAAGCAGAGAGGAGAGTGAGAGAAGGACAGGGAGTGAGGGAAAGTGAGAGAGGGAGAGGGAGAAAAAGAAGCAGAGAGAAGAGAAGTGGGAGAGGGAGAGGGAGAATGGAGAAACAGACAGGCAGAAAGGGATAGTGGAAGGGGTAGAGAGAGAGAGAGAGGGACAGGGAACAGGGAAAAAAAAAAGATAAGAGGGAGAGGGAGATGAAGAGATAGAAGAAAAGTGAAAAAAAAGAAGTAAGAGAGGGAGAGGGACAAGGTACAGGGAGAAAAAAAGAGAAAGAGAAGAAAGTGACACAGAAGGAGAGAAGACAAGTGTGAGAGGAAGAAAGAGAAGGGCAGAAAAGGAGAATGTGAGAGGAAGA